AGTCATGCCTGATCAACCTCATCTCCTTCTACGATCAGGTAACTTGTCACCTGGATAAGGGAGATGAGGTTGATGCCATATACTTGGATTTTAAAAGGGCCTTTGACTTGGTCTCCCACAATGTCCTCACGGTAAAATTGGCAAATTACAGCCTCAACAACTTAACACTCCAGTGGCTAGGAAACAGGCTCCGAAGTCGTACCCAGAGAGTGTTTGTAGATGGAACTGAGTCGACATGACATAAGGTGACCACTGGTGTCCCTCAGGGTTCAGTACTTGGACCAGTTGGCAAAGTTTGTGAATGACACCAAGATATGGGGGGGTGTGGTCACACTGGAAGACAGGCTGGGAATACAGGCTGACCTGCACAGGCTTGTAAGGTGGGTGAATCAAAACCTGATTATCTTTAACAGGGACAAATGTAAAGTGCTCCATCTGGGGATAAATAATCTGCAACACACTTGCAGACTTGGCAGTGCTACACTAGCTAGTACTACAACTGAAAGAGACCTGGGGTCATGATCAATCACAGAATGAATATGAGCTACCAATGCAATGCTATAGCCAGCAGAGCGAACAGTACACTGGCATGCATCAACCGATGCATCTCAAGCAAGACTGAGGATGTCATCCTCCTGCTCTCCTCAGCATTGGTGAGGCCTCAGGTGGAGTACTGTGTCCAGTTCTGGGCGCTGAACTTCAAAAATGATGTGGAGCAGCTTAAAAGAGTCCAAAGGAAGGCCATGTGTATGATTAGAGGTCTGGAGGACAGGCCATATGAGGGGAGATTGAAGGACATGGGACTGTTCAGCCTGGAAAAGAGAAGACTTAGGGGGAACTTAGTGGCAGCCTATAGGTATGTAAGAGACAAACATCAGGGGCTGGGAGAGCATCTGTTCACCAGGGCGCCCCAGGGGAATACTAGGAATAATGAACATAAACTGCTGGAGGATCGCTTCAGATTGGACATAAGGAAAAAATTCTTTATGATTCATGTGTCCAGAGTCTAGAAAAAACTCCTGCCAGACATGGTATAGTCACCTATCCTGGAAATCATAGAATCATAGAGTCATAGAAGTAGGGTCGGAAGGGACCTTGTAGATCTTCAAGTCTGACCCCCTGCCTGGGCAGGAGTAAAACTGGGCTCAACTGCCCCCAGCCAGGTAGGCATCGAGCCGCTTCTTAAAGACCCCCAGGGTAGGAGCCAGCACCACTTCCCTTGGAAGTTGGTTCCAGAATCTTCAAAAGACAACTGGACATGCACCTCATTGGGGTCATCTGACCCCATCAGTCTTTTCTTCCTTGCCTAAGAGCAGGGGGGCTGGACCTGATGATCTCATGAGGTCCCTCCCAGCCCCTAACTTCTGTGAATCTATAACTTCTATGAATCTATGCCTGGTAGTGGAATCACCACTTGTGGTGGCAGCAGCACCCCCCTCCCCACAAGGTACCAGGAGAGCCATGCACCCACCAATGGGGCCATGGAACTTGGTGCAGGAGGAGCTAGCCGACCACTTCCTCCAGCACTCCCTACTCTAGCCTGCCTGCACTGCTTCCCATATCTACCCCCTCAACCCTCCTATCCACTCCTAGCACCACACTCACTGCAGACATGTCTTAGAAGAACAAGTTTTTATTTCCCTCACATCAACCAGAGCCCCTCCACCACCCGTCCCACCCACCAACAATAAAAATACCTTCTTCCCCATGAAAACTATGTTCAGTGCCCTTTGTGTGCTGTCCCAGGGTGGGAGGCCATGGGGTGGAGGTGCCTACGGGGCAGAGCCCAGGGACAGATGGCCAGAACGCCAGCCTCTGGCAGTTCCCCCACAGGTGCACTCCACAGTAAGTGCAGCATGTGGGGGGCTCACCCAGGGGTAATTGTGGCTGGTGCTCCCCCAGCGCAGGTGGCTGCCCCTCTGAACAGGCTGTCCAGGAGGAGGGTCCTGTCCAAGGCCCTCCTCTGGCAGAGACAGTGCATCTGCCGGGCCCTGACTGTGGGCAGCAGCGATCCTGAGATCACATCCCAGCTGCCAAGTGTGGCCTCTCCCCTGTGTGTAGCTGCAGGGCCTGTAGAACCATGAGAAAGATGCTGTTTGCGTGGGTTTGTAACATTTCTGAGATGAGATGCTCTGTACCAGGGCTTGTGCGCTGTCTTGCTTCAGATCAGGGATCAGGCGTGCACAGGTGCCCAGGGATTATGGTAAGTCAGTTGGGCAGGCCTGGGCACAAACAGCCACTGACCAAGCCCCCCATCCCCACTCACTCCTCTGGGCCTGGTGGACTGCTGGGTGCTGGCCACAGGCAGCATGTCTCACCTGCACTTTTCCCAGGCAGGACAGGCCAGGCTTCTGGCAGCACCTGCTGCCATGGCTCCAGACCCCACTGCCTTCCCTCTTCTCCTACAGGTCAACCACTCTGCTCTGCTGCCACCCAGCCAATGGCACCCAGGGTTGAGGAGCACAGGGCTCCTGGATGACTGGGACAAGGAGGTGCCTGTGCCTCTGCCTTCCCTACAGGGGGCTTCTCTGGGGAGGCACCCCAGGGCCAGCTCCCTGCCCCACATCCCCACTGTGCCCCAAGTGTGCCTCTGCTGTATTTGTCCTGGGCAGTATGTGAGGAGCTGTTTGCTTGGACCAAGGAGTGCCTGACCCACTATACCCTGCTGCTGCTGATGGCCATGGTGCCCTGGGAAAATCTGCGCATCTGGCATGGTACCCTGAGCTACAATGGTGTGGGGGCAAGCCCAGGCTTCCTCGCTACCTCTGCTGCCACCTGGAGGGCTATGTGTGGCTGTGCTGTACATCCCTGTCCCCTGCTGCTGAGAAGGACATTGCTGCTGGCATCGATGCGCAGGAGAGGTTCCCACCCCGGATCCCTGGGGCTGGCCTCAGGGCAACCCCCTAGTGGCAGGACTAACCTGGGAGTAAATTTGGTCCCAGGTCATGTCTACATATGTGTTACTGAGTAGTAACTAATTGCAAATAAATTTGATACCTGCATTTGTAGGCAAGAGTAATACAGTAACAATATTGTCTGTTTAATGTGGATAGTGTATTTCCTTATGTCAAAAGCTATCTTTAATGATAGAAACAAAGTATTCTTAAGGATTACCCCTTTTATGTAGGAAAAATCATTTATTTAACACTCAAGAAGGATATCCAAGATAGGCTTATTGCTCTGTGTGTCCTGCACCAAGTGTATTAATGTTCCATTTCACACCAGCCACATAACAGCTCCAGTACCCTCAGTGCAAACTCATAAACTATAGGTAGAATGCTATTTCCCTTTGTGTGTCTAAATGGCACTTTTCTAGCTGTCTACTTAGCTATTTTTGGCCCTGGCTTTATGAATGCAGATGACTAAGCATGCATGTCTAAATCAAGCATGCACTCTGAGGCCAGATACCTACATCCCAGAGAAATGATAGCGGGGAGAGTGAGGGGTGGGGAAAGTGGCAGCAACCTTCCTAAGCTTTGCTCCTCCTTGTTCAAAAGAGCTTGAATCTGCCGTTCTCTGACCTCCTAGCACAGTCCTCTTCCCCCTACACTACAGGTCAGGCACTGCCCACTGTTCATTCTGAGGCTTAGTTATGGCTTCTTGCATTCAGGATTCATTGTGTAAAATAAAGAGCAGTACCATTTTGAGGCAAGGATCTGATCTAGAACTCAAAGCCTGTGCTTTTCTAGGGCAGTAGCAATCACAATGAGCCACAAGCTTTCCAACTTGCTTTTTCCTCCTGGTCCCATGCATCTCCCTCTCTTGTCTGCCCAGAAAGCCAGCTTGAAAAGGAGCCTTGGAGAAGAGTCTGGCTGATGCCTAACCTGTGTCATGAGGATTCAAACCCTACACCAAAAAAACTGAGAAACTTGCATTTCATAACTAAACACTTCCTCTAAATTTTCTTTGCCAGTACTGGACAAGTGCTTCCTTTTAACAGCTGGCTTCTATTCCTCCCAGGAGAGCACGCACACACACCAGCAGACTCTCCCTATGCCTGAAGAAGGGTGTTTGTGCCTGAAAACTTGCAGAGAACAATTTTTCCAACTACTTAGTTGGTCTAATAAAAGATTTTCACATTTACCCCAAAAATCTTGTCTATCCTTTTAACAAATGCATTCAAAGAAATTGAGACTGGTTCACAAACAAGAAAAGAGCTAAATTAATAATGAATGTTATTTGCAATGCGTAATTCATTGAGTTATATTTTGGATTTTTAATACAGCTCCAACCACAGAATATGTCTCTCTCCTAGCTCTCTTACTCTAAATGTTATAGCTTTAAATTATAATTTGCTAAATGGGAAGGAGTTTTTTGAGGTGGTATCTTTTATTGGACCAGCTGTATGGTTGGACTAAAGTTAGAGAAGCTTTCAAATGCAACATTGTTCATCAATTTGCTAAATACAGTTTTCCATATTAATTTATTCTTCAAGGCCTTTTATATGGCTTTCACCTCTGAGGAATTTCAGATATAGCACAGAAGGACCAGGTGGCTTGGTTTTAGTCCATCCTGCTAATGCTTTTACTATCTCAAGATAGTAATTCTAGTTTCCATTGCAAGGAATCATGTTGTGAGGCCCGTTGAACCTGTCTGACATCTCTTCCCATGGTACAAAATCTGTATTATTAGTAAAATAGTAGTGTTACTGCAGTAGAACTTAGCAACTTATGGGGGATGGGTGGATGATCACTAGTGCAAGCCTTGGAAGTGACAACCACAGAATCAGCAGGTCAGGTAACACAAGGGAACTCATTCCTGCCCCAGCCCAAGTATGGGACTTTTCTAAGAAGACAGGGAAGCCCAGGACTTCTGACGGCAGGCTTAGCTGCCTCTACACAAATGCCAGGAGCATGGGGAACAAACAGGGGGAAATGGCCCTTCTGCTAAGCAAAAATGAATATGATCTCATAGGGATAATGGAGACCTAGTGGGACTCCATCTACGACTAGACCACCAGTATTGATGGCTATAATTTGTACCCTGTTTCTGTTTTCTAGGGATGGAGGTAGCAGCCTATCTCACAGGAAAGGCTCATTCAGTATCTGTGGTTGAACTGGAAGAGGTACCTTTCATGAAGATTTTTGGGGAGAAAGTTGGTCGAGCAATCATGAAGGTGATTATGATTTTCCAGTCCTTTAGGGGGTAATTTTGGAAACAAGAAATGTGATACCTGCTGAAGAGAGGACAGATGATTCTATGTGCCTGACCCCCCAGCTGTCAGTAGTTAATGTCAGCATTATATTTTGTTTATGCAATGTTTTAATACTTGTGCACAATTTTGAAGTGATGAAGTCCTGCACAGTGGATAACATCAAAAAGAAAGCTTTGACTTTATCATGTTATTAGTAGCCTAAATGCAACAGGCTAATGGATTTCATTAGTAGTCTAAATGCAACAGGCTTATGGATTTTCAGCCCTTATAAGGCAAAGTTAAAATAGAAATGTATCTGGGTAAAAGATACTTGGACTATCTGTTTCTAATGCATATTCAAGCCAAGTCCAAAGCTATATAACAGAAAGGGAAAAGTGAGATTTTAGAGGGTAGCCAGATATTCTATAAGCTGGCAGCAATTCCAACATTGTAAAAGCACTGTCCCTTTTCTCTCACAGATCTTTGAAAACAACAGGGTGAAGTTCTACATGCAGACTGAGGTGTCTGAACTGCGGGAACAGGAGGGCAAGGTACAATGCCTGATGCTTTGGTAGATACTAGTACTGAGGAGTTATGGAAGGACAAAAAAGAAGTGACTGTGCCTGGCCCTGGTTTGAGTATGTGGGAAGCTAGGGAGGGCAAGGGGGCCTCAAAGGAACATGTGGAATCCACCATAACCCCAAAAGGGAAAATACTACTCTAAAGACACCTGTCATGGTCAGACCATTACCTTCTAAAGGCACAGCTTCTCGCACTGGGGGATCTAAAGGCACAGGGCCCAATACTGATACCTCTGATGGACTAGCTAGGCTGGTTTGCCCCCTCGCACTGGGGGATCTAAAGGTACAGGGCCCAATACTGAGACCTCTGATGGACTAGCTAGGCTGGTTTGCCCCCAGTGACTCATGGAACTGATGGAAATCCAGAATTCTCTTGGTATTCTCCCACTGCCCTTGAAAACTACTTTTTTGACAGCCTGGTTGAACTATGAAATAGCCATATTGACCCTGGCCATAGACATAGTGCACCCAGGTGTCCATTCCCACTGTTGTGGTGGCACAGATCTTCCTGGCATACAAGGATGCTAAAGCAGGAGGGTAAGCAGTTAGAGTACAGCTAGCTCTCCACCTATGTCAAAGCTGATTGACTTCAGCTCACAGAGCCATCCGGGGGGGGTGTGAATCAGGGCGACCACCCCAGGCCCCGTGCTTTGGGGGGCCCCACAGACAGTGCTTGCGCGATGCTGACTCCATGCTCTGGCTGATCCCCCCCTGCATAGGCCCTGCACAACCTGATATGCCCCAGGCCCCACACACACCTAGGGTCAGCTCTGCCAGCACAGTTCCTTTTTAAGGGACTATATTGTAACAGGAGTAGCAGTGGGGAAACTATTCTTCTCCATTGCCATTTCACCTACAAAGTGCCATCTGGTAAAACTGTTCTGGGTGATGGATGGCATAATTAACCCAGGTTATCTTCATTCAGAAACTGAATCATCTACAGTTCATTGTGACAAGTTTGTTACCTTCTTTGCAGACAAAATCACCCACATATGCTGTGGCTTAGGGACCACCAGCCTAACTGCGAAGTCAGAGTTTGCAGTTGGAGAAGCTCAGTCTTGTCTAATTTTCATGGATTAATTTCAGTCATTGTTGCCTGCTAATGCAGAGGGTGTGTTTGGGGGTGAGCAGGATGTGGGGACCAGTTGTGAACTGGACCTGTGTCTGTCCTGGCCTGTAAAAGGTAGAGTTGGAGTGATCCTATGGCCATGATGGTCCAGGAAGTATATGAGATACAAGGATTTTTTGGTAATATTCATTAGGTGATATCTGCTAAACCTCAAAAACTTGACTAAGATCTATTCTGAACTCTCCAATTAGTCCAATAAAACATATCACCCCAAATGTCCTTACTTCTGGCTTGTAGAAGCCAGCTGGGGGAGACTGAAGCCATTCAGGTCAGGTTGTAGATGCTTTCCTTCAGAAGGGTAGGGTACCTGATGTATGTTAGTCTACAATTGTTCAGCCCTTGCCTGTTGGGGAGAACAAGGACAACCCAAAGTTCAAAACAGCAGAACAGGCAGCTCTTCTTCAGCAAAAACATTTACTGGGTTAAAGACCATAGAGCAAGAAGATCTTACTCCTTCCAAAGGCTTCAGCAGTCCCTCTGTCCCCAGTCTTTCCCCAGTCTAGCCTGCACAGCCCTGAGCAATCCAAAGTTAACTCAGTTCTCTCTCTGGTATGCCCAGCTCCTGGAATTGCTGCTCACCCATCTCCTTCTTCAGCCCCCTTAGTCAGAAGCTGACATACTCCCCATCCAACCCGCTGTGCCAGTTGTTATGCTTGTCTCCTTGAGCTTCTTGGGAGCTACCCATACAACCTTTTTGATGCTTTACAAAGTTATTCCAATCCTGTAGGTAATGAAACTCCATTTTGCCTATGAAAGAGACATCTCTCACTGTTTCTTTAATCCATTCTCACCACCATATAAGTTAGCCCATGGAAAGCTGAGACATGCAACATTCTTACAACATGAAGACAGTTAGCACAGAAATATTACTATCTTTACTCAATGTCAGATGAGGTTTTTTCTGCCCCCAATCAGCCTAGGAAACAAAGCTCCTCATCTTATATTCACATACAAGAAAACCTCATGTGGAGGGGCACAGGCTTAGTGGCTATACTGGGAAGGGGCCTGCATGCTGTGCGCTCAGCAGATGTCTCACTCTCTTGTTTTATTATCTCATCTTCCACGACTTGCTATAACTGAAAAAGTATATCAAAAGGTGGTACCTGAGTGAAGAGAGTTGGGTGAGATCAGTCTGAGTCTAGACATCTATGGATTTTCTGTGGGGCTCCTCCTCCTCAATGCCCCACCCCTTTCATTTGAGTGTTCTTGTCAGTGCTTGGTACAGACACCTGGCCATGACAGGCATGCATCCTTGTTGCTCAGTGGGGAAAAATCCATGACAGAAAGGGACTGCGTTTGCTGGAGTCAGCACGTCTCGGCTGTGCCTTCCCGACTCCGCTGCAGTTCCAGGGTGTGGCAGTGCACAGGTTGTACATGCCCCTGTGAGATCAGCAGGCTGGTCTGGGGACATCTGACCAGCCAAGAGAGAAACTCCGTCAGGAGAACCCTACTCGGGAGAGCGAATTTAAGGGGGAAGGTGTGTGGCAGGGCACATTGGGTGTGTCTGCCACTTTAAGGGTAGGTCAGCAGGGCAGAGCAAGTGTGGCAGATGAGGCCAGCCCTCATTAAGCAGCTTGCCAGTTAAGAGGTGAGCAGGTGCTGCAAGTTGCGAGGCTCATGTAACTGCCAGGGGAAGAAGCTGACTGAGGTCAGTGAGGGCTGCAGTCTGAGTTTCCTCTGAAGAACCAGGGGAGTTATACTCCCTAGCTAGAGGACTGCAGCCCCAGGAACAACCTGGAGGAAAAGGTAGGAACTATGGGGATGAAGGAGATTCCAGGGGACCTAGCCTGGCAGATGCTGTGAGAATGGGGAAACAGAAGCAGGGTCCCCAGGGACACCCTGTAGCCTAAGAAGCAGGGGGAGATGAGCCAGCTCTGCTAGCCCAGCAGGCTGCCAGATGAGGGGGAACAGCCCCACAGAGCTTGGAGGCTGAGGCACTAATAGAGCAGTGCCAGAGAGAAGGGAGTGCTGGAAGAAGAGTGGGGCCAAAGAGCAGAGGGAGATGTGAGGCCCCAGAGCCAGCGGAAGAGTATAGGCTGAGAGAGATAGAGGGTGAGGGGGCAGGAGGCCAGGAGGGTTTTCTCTACCTCGACTGGCACAGGCTGGGGCTAGGACCTAGGAGGGGTCAAAGGGCAAAGGTGCCATAGCAAGGGGGAGGCCAGGGCTGCAGAGAGCCCTGGCACCCTGACTGGCCGGAGAGTGGAGCCAGGCCCTTAGTGGGCAAAGGTCCCTTGGGTGAGGGACCACTGGCAAAAGGTGGGAGCCAAGGCCACCTGAGCCCGTATGAAGGGAGTGAGGAGGACCACCTGAAGGCAGAGACATAAGCGGCCAGGCAGGAAGCAGAATTAGGGCCAGAGTTGGTAGAAGGACCTTGGTTATGTGAAGAGACACTCCAAAGAAGAACAAGGGTCCTGGGTAAGACCTGAAACTGCACCCTGCTAGGGTAGGATGGTGTGGTGGGGCTGTCAGTGATGGGGCAGCCCCCAGGAAATGCCACACCTGTGTCTCCCTAGTGAAAGGCGAGGATGGGGCACCAGAAAGTCTCAGCCCCTGCTGCTTTGTGGGTGACCCAGTGGAGACCAAAGGCTAGGGGAACACACCCTGACAGAAAAACATCGGGCCTGGGGAGTGAGAGGCTCAGGGTGAAGGGCCAGGGTCCACTGAGTAGGGCCTGAGGTCTGTGTCAGAGTTAGACCCAGTGAGGAGTCATATGGTGTGCAATAGGCCCAGAGAGAAGTCAGTGTGAGTGAGATAGGCCAAGGGCAGCCCAGCAAGGTCCAGATAGGCCAAGGGGGCTGGGGGAGTAGTAGAACTGAATGCCATCTGTGAGGCTTGGGACACAGTGTAAGGCTTAGGACAGGGTGGTACGGAGCTGTATATTTGGCCTAAGGTGCCAGGGCCTTAAAATGGGGAGGCCTTCCCGCTTCACATCTATTTAGTTACATCAAAGCTTGGTGGTTGAGAGCAGTGCAGACCGGCTTAGACAGGGGGTTGGCTGATCACCTTGGGGCCCGGGGCGGGGGGGGCCTGTCACACAGGATCACTGGGGTTTGGCCTGTGTAAAGAAAAACTCAAATGGCTGTGTCCATGCCTGCTTCCAGCCTTCCTTTGGTCTGGCAGGGTATCTCAGCCGCCTTTCCTCAGGCAGCAAAGCTCTTCAGGTCTTGCCCTTTATCTGAATTAAGTTCAAGTAGGCCAGTGCATCCTGGACTGAACCTTTTGAGTAATGTAGGACTAGGGGTATCACAAATCCTAAAAGTAGCCCAAAAGGTACCTGACCTTCTATAGCTGAATGTCAGTCAGGATTCTGTCCAGAGAGCTGCAGTGCTTCTAGTCCTTGGCTCCTGGTCTTCTGTTTCCATGGAGGAACACTGTGCACAGGCTGACCTGAGTCAGTGTTCCCCCTCTCCTGGGGTCAGCATGGCCTTTCATAAGAAGTTCTGGGTTGGTTTGAGCCACCCCTGTCTCTTGCTTGCCCCCATGTGCCCTGCTGGTGCCAGCAGGTGCTGAGAACACCTGTCGCCTCCTGGCCCTAGGGAGTACTTGCCATGCCTGGCGCCTGCCTTCTACTCTGCCTGTAGCCTGTGCCTATGTGGGGCTGGGGTTCTGACTCTCACCCTGGCCTGTGGGTGTCTGCTGCAGCCTGGCTGCCTGTTCAGCAGCATGGCAGAGCATGCCTTTGGTGTCCAGGCCCACCATTTCTCTGCAAGCCCAGCCGGGGATCTGCCACCTTATCCAGCCGATGAAGGTGGAAGGGATGCCCATCCACCTCAGATGAAGAGAAACCAGTATGATACTCTGTTGTAGGCCTTCTCCAGGTCCAGGTTCAGCATGGCAACCCTCTGTTGCTTTCTAACGGGAGCACATCTCTCTGTTGCAACAGGGCCCTGTGGATCTAGCATCATGGCACCGAACAGAAGTGGTCCTCGTGTATGATTGAACCTAGGACGGATTTAAATAGCTTGGCCAAGACTTTGGCCAGCAGCTTCTAATCAAAATTCAGGAAGCTAATAGTCCTCCAGTTATTCAACTCTTCCCTCGGACCCTTCAGCATCCACTCCTCCTCTAGCTGCTGCTGTTCAGCCTCCCCAAGGACTTGGGTGAGACCCTGCAGGCACTGTTGCATGGCCCCTGGTCCTCCAGTCACATGGTGTAGAGCTCTCAGTAGAAGGCAGCTGCTGTTTCCAGCATGCCTTCCTTCAACCGGTGCTCCACTTCTGCTCCACCTCTCAGACACTTCATGGGCTTCTCTTTGCTCTTCTTTAACCTGCTAAAGTAAGCAGACCACTCCTCCTCCTCCACCCAGGGGGCCCTGGCCTGGAAGATCTTTTGCCTGGCCTTCTCCTGGTACCAGGCACCAATCTGGGCCTTCACCTCCTGCATGTCATCCCTCCATAGGTGGTGGAAGGCTGGGGCTTGGGGGCGCTTAGCCCCCCCTAAACTAATTTTGCAGCAGCTGGCGACAGCAACAGTACCATGGCAGAGTTCGATGTGCAGCCAGGCCAGCACCCCACGCACACGCAGCTCTGCAAAGCTGAGGAAGAAGAAGCTAACTGTGCATATGTTGCACCATGCAGAGCACGATGGGAGTTGTAGTTCTCATACTGATGCATGCACTCAGCCCCCCCCAAATAATATTGTCTCCTTCCGTCTATTCCTCCCTCACATCCCAACATGCTGCTGCCTGCCTGTGCAGGGCCTGCATCTTAGAGGTCAGGTGCTCATGTTGCCTTTTTTGAAAGAAGGCTCGCTACTTGCCAGCCTGCTGAAAGAAGCTTTGGTCCTCTGTTTGACAGACTGGCCTACCACTCTGTCTGGTATGGGTACAGATCTTTGACCATCCTCCAGCTTGTGTAGTGCTCTCTGAAACTGCATTAGATCTTTTCATCTTCCAGCAGGCCCCTCTTCCATTTTCCAGCTGTCCTCTCATTTCAGCCTGGATTGTAAGGAGGCAGCAGTCTGAGAAAGAGACAGGTGTGGATCAGGCTTTCTTTGCCTTCTACTCCTTGGAGAGGAAGACAAAGTCTATCTAGGACTTAGTGTTTCCTTCAAGGTCCACCAGGATGAAATTCCCCCCAGGGACCTAGGCTTCCTTTCTGGCACCCGCCAAGCTGTGATCACTGATAGGAACCTACCATACATATAGTTTAGTGCAGCCTAATTGAAGATGTGGTAGTGCCCATTGTGCTTAGTCCCCCTAAGTGCTGTCTCTTTTAAAGTCATGGTGAGCCACTACATTGCATACATTTCAGCTTCCTCTTCGCTACAGCTGAGCTGTACCTTTATTTCCCATTTCCCATTATTTCTGTTTCTTCACCAGCCTTAAATGCCTGGCAAGCATCATGAAACATGGCCCCAAATGGTTCATCTAGAATCCCTTTGTCACCCCTTTTATCAGCCTGTCATATATTATTAGTGTGACCCTGCCTTCATGAGGTGAAGCTAGACCAGGTTGCCCTCTGCCTCATCTGCATATACATTTTTGGAGGATCCCAGGATTTGTGACAAGAACACCCATTTCTAGTCATGAGTATGGGAAGGGGGTCTGATTAGCACACGGATCATTTTGGAGGATATTTGGAGTATACACACATACTGAGCAGTTACTGAGCTGTGGGGTCACCATGGCTTGTAATGCTGTTGACTCTACTGGGGCCCAGCCCAGTTAACTACATGGTAAATCATGAGTCTTTGGGCTTTGGACTAATATCATGCATGGTTTATACTATTTGCAAATTACTATAGGCATATTTATTTCTAAGTCGGTGTTTTCAAATTTGCCCCTCACTTCTATGTGCTCAGGAAAAGAAGGGGGTGACAGAAAGTGAGGGGAAGGGGCTGCAGGGGGATGAAGGTTGTGGGGCTGAGGGGAGGGGGGGCATCTACCTCCCAGATTTATACTCCCTACTGTAGCAGTAGGAGAGGGACAAATTCAAGGCAAACCTCCAGTAATTAGATTCTATATTCTATACCTGGAAAATTATAACAAATTTGTAAATTATCCATATATAAAATCTAATTATTCAGGTTATAATCAGGGTCATCTTGTATTCAAGTAAATACAATATATTAAAAGCCATAGCCTGCCTTATCATTGTCTCCTTGAGATCGTTTCTGGGGGTCCTCCAGGGCTTCATCTAGACTCTAATGAACCCTCCTGTTTATTGTGTATATGAGACCATTGTGTGAAATTATGCAGAGATTTGGACTGAGATACCATCAGTATGATGATAACATCCAGCTCTCTCTTTCCTTCTCTCTCTCTCTCTCTCTATCTTTCATTGAACCTGTGTCCCACAGTCTCAGTCCTTACCCAGTACATGGCTGCAGTTGGGTATTCAATGTGGGTGAATAAACTGAAGCTGAATCCACATAATACTGGGGTAGTAGTGGTTGGCAGACACCCTAACTTGGGATATCAGAAGTGAAGTGAGCTGGGTTCATATGTTTCTAATGGAAATTATTACACAAATTAAATGTAGGGTTCACTACTAATTCCCCATGTAAAGTGCAATGGTAGAGTAATTCAGGTATCTTGCACTGGCTTCAGAGGCATGAGCTGAGGCTGTGCTCTGGAATGGTGCCAAAGGCTTCCCCAGTCAACCCAGCTGTAAGTAAGTACCTGGGTATTGTTGCCGGGGAGACAAAGATGGCAAGATGTGACACTCCCTTGCATGCTGCTGCCTATAAAAATTTATGTGCCTTACCCACTACTCCTGAGGGCAGCTAGGTTTGGAATGGCCTTTCACCCTGACTGGATCCCCATAGTTGTGGCTAAGGGAATATAATTTTTTCTTATGGTCCCATACGTACACTGTCAGAAAAGAATGTATACTGTGGCATCACCAAAGAGCAGGTTCAGTTCAATGCTCAGTCCAAACGTGCTTCAGCCCAGTGGTGCATATTCATTAGATTATGCTCTTAGGAGTCAGGAGGACACCTAAGAGGGATGTAGTTTTTACTGTTATTTGTGTTCTATTATGTCTTCTATATGCTGTTGTATTAAATTCATATACTTCCATTATCATATTCATGGCTGTATTTTTGTAATTGGTCTTTTTTGAGATCTTTCAATTCCAACTCAATCAGGAATTGGGATGGCAATTAGGAGGTAAGATGGCCTGGTGACCACCAGCATAGAGAGTGGCAAGTGTGATTGGGGTCTTCCATTACCACTGTCATTAGAAACTAAAACCCTGTACAGCTAAAGGAATTACATCTGTTTCACATTACATAGCTGAGACCCAGGATTAAAAATGCTGTAAAATGATTTCTTCATTGAAGCAAAATTACAGTTGAGTCATTTGGCACACTTGAGTTAATGCACAGTAGCACTGATAAATGGCTTTTTCATGATGCTGACTGAGCAATACTCACACTTTCTGCCACACAACACTACTGCACAGTAGTCACAGGCTACTGTGCAGTCAGCATCTTGAGTAAATGCAGCCTGAGATTCCAAATTGGTTGAGTGCTTCTTGTTTAGTTTTGTCCTTAAAATAACTGTGATTTTCATTTGTTTCTCCTAAAGCTTAAGGAAGTTGTACTGAAGAGTGGAAAGGTTCTCCGTGCAGATGTCTGTGTTGTTGGCATAGGTAAGTAAACTCTAACTTAAGGACCTAAATAGAACAAGGCATCTGTGTTTATGAACAAATCGGTAGCTTCTACTTCTTCAGACAGAGCTGGTTCAGAAGCTGGGTTGGGACATGAAGGTGCCACAATTGTAGCCCTGAATCCAGTGTTGAAAATAGCACCAAGGGAGCCTTTCCAGCCTATTGCTACTTAATACTTGCTAATGCGAGAGAGAATGGAAAAATAGTAGCTATGTAAAATTCCTTAATTATGACTATTTTGCATAGTGGGATGAATAGAAAACCTTGCTCACATCCCCTTGAAAAAAATTACAAAATGTAAATTAAATTAAACGAAAAAATTGAATGAAAATGTCTTTGGAAAATATTTATTTGAATTTAATCTTTTTCCAATAAAATTGTCATTTGAAATTTGTCATTCCCATCTCGTCTTAAAAAGCCACACTATAATATTTAAGACTTGCTTTTCTTCTTTTCCTCCTTTTATTATATTGTCATTGACTATGGTAGAATATTTTTTTCCTTTTACTTTTATTTATTGTTCTCTTCTTCACTCTATAACAATAGAAGGGATCTTAACCCTTGGAAAAATCAATGATCGGCAGTTACATTTCTCTCTCTGTTGCTTGGTAACAAAGTTGTAGAAATCTGAAAAGGTAAGGAAGGGAGGAAGAAAAGAAGAGGGGGAATTGCCTGCTGCTGTGCTGAAAAACAGAGGAGAGCCCTCCTTGAACATGATTTAGTTCATTTTAAGAATTGCTCAGAGTTTATAATTTTGAAAGGTGGTCAGAAACTAAGATTTTTGAAATATTTATGAAAGATATGAAGTTTAAATGAATTACAAGCTTTGGAAGGACTTCTCCCAGTACAGAAAATCAACACATAGGTGTGGAATCTGGCTCATGGGCCAGTGAGCCCACTCTTGCCTTTTGATTGTCAGATCATAGTCTAGTGAACTTTTAAACCTGGAAAGCATGGAAGCCTGGTAAGAATCATTATGTAAGTCATAGTATCCTTATAAATTAATGGTTCTTGACTTTTTCCATAATTGGATATCTGTTCCATTGTTCTCCTACAAGACCCTTTTCTCATTTAGTAAAATGGGAAGGCCAGGTTGATTACGACTTGCATTGTGTAAAAAAATTATTTTTTTAAGTTCCATGTCCAAGCCAAAAAAATAATAATAGAAGTTTGGTTTGAGGGGCAATTTACATGCTGCAAGCTAAGAATAGCATTGTCTGATTTGCAAATGCAGTTGTGTATGTTGTATTTATTTTAGATAGTTGATCCCTAGATATTTTCATCTCCACTCAAATTCTGAGCATCAGGCATTCTACCAAACCCTCTTAATCCACTGAACTTGCCAACCAGGCTCTCAGACCCCCTACAAAGTATCCTTCCTCTCCAGTGGAGCCCAGCACAAAGGTAATCTTGAGATTCAATAGGAGGTATTGTTAACAGCACAGCCACTTCCTGCT